GCTGTAGAATCTACATTTGTTATTGTATTTCTGATGTTATCTATTTTATCAGTCATAAAGTCCATAAAGTCATTACTATTAAACTGTGAGGGAATATTTAGATTGGGTGGCGTCTGGTTATTTTGTGAATGCACGGCTTCAGAACACTTAAAATATAGTGCACGAAAACATTATGGTGCTTTATAATGTTTTTGTGCCTTTCGTGGGGCTTAACAATAGCACAGAATACACGCACTATATCGGATTTGGATCTGTCTCGTCTGACCGATACCCGATCCGGTGTAGTGCCGAATTCTGACCCCCGCCAGATTATTACCCCCCTAGTATTGGTAGGTTTAGGGTTAGGTGTGGGGGAGGGGTTAGGATTAGGGGTGGGGTTAGAATTAGGCAATAAGGTAGCGATTTCAACGAGGGGGGTAATAATTTGGCAGGGAGTCTAAAATGAGCACAACACCGGCAGAAAATGGCAGTATTGGAGATTTGCATACAGAGTAGCCTACAATGCGTCTGTGCACAAAGGCTGTTTCTATAAAGTGGGGCAGATCCAACTTTGCAAGGACAGTTTGGCGCTTCTGACTCACAGCCTGTTCATATTTAAAGAATTAGCCACTGACGATTCAAACGTTTTGTAAAAATCGACGCGTTTCAGAAAGGCGGGGCATAGAGGAGAAACAATAATGTACAGTATGTGGAAAATAATGTGTTTTTTGAACCTTAAACCGCATAAACACATTGCATTACACCAAATACACAAAATAATGTTCTTTTTAGCAACGTCATATGACCCCTTTATTGCTGTCTAGGTGCACAACTAGAGTTTGAAATTAAGTCCATTTGACTGTTGGTTTTTAGAAAATACATTTCAATCAATCGGTACTTGGCAATACTTATTTTTAAATGTCTGCGTCAATACTCAAAAAAATGGATATAGAGTGCAACAAGTGTTGCCCACTTTTTCAGTGGCCTTGGTACTGGAAGCATCTTTCCCATAGGGATTTAAGATGTTAAAGAGTTATGAGTCACAAATCAATCAAACCAGCTACGAGGAGAATCACAACATTACAAACTTTGATTTGAAGCAAAAAAGTATTTGAAAATCTTACAAAAAGACACAGGTACAAGACTGTGAACTTTTACAGCTTTAATGAAGAAAAGAACTACAATAATCCCATGAAGCACTGTGTATGACATTTAAATAAAAATGACAGAAAGATATAAAACAATTAATCTACAGATGTTGATTATATAGAAATAATATATTTTAAATTTATAGCAAAATATGGATATATATTTTAAGATTTTGATTCTCTGATTGGTAGAGATTTTTTTTTTTTTGAAGAATCATGAGTAATGTAGTTTCTGACCAGCATGCCCAATGTTAGACAATGTTAAAAAACTGATTTGTAGAGATTTTTTTTTTTTTGAAGAATCATGAGTAATGTAGTTTCT